TTTCATTTTATTTGGATCCACAATCAAAGCCCATGGAAGCAGCATTCAAGAAATCAGAGGATGTATTGCACTGGGCAAATCTTTTGCAAAAGACCTCTTTAAAGTGTTAAACAGTAAAGATGCCACTTTGAATACTAAGGTGCACCTGACCCAAACCATTGTCTTTTCAACAGCCGCGTATGTGAAACCTGGCAAATGAAACCTGAACAAAAAAAGAATTGATGCATTTGAATTGTGGAATTGGCAAAGAATATTGAGTATACCATTGGCTGCCAAAAGAACAAGGAAATCTATCTTGGAAAAAGTAGAGCCACAATGCTCCTTAGATGCCAGAATGGCTAGACTTCACCACTCATATTTTGGTCCCATTGTCAGGAAGGACCAGTTCCTGGAGAAGGATATCAAACTCGGTAAAGTAGAGGGTCAGCAATAAAGGGGAAGGCCCTCAATGAGATGGATTGACACAGTGATTGCAATGACATGTTCAAGCTTAGGAAGGATTGTGAGGATGGTGCAGGATCAGGCAATGTTTCATTCCATTGTACATGGGGTTGCTGGACTCAGAACCCATTAGATGGTACCTAACGACAACATTTTATATAAGGGACTTGAGCATTGGCAGATTTCTGTATCCATGGAGGTCCTGGAACCAGTATACTTATAGAGGGACAAGTAATGGCATAGTGCCTAAGGCATTTGACTGCTACCTAGGAGGCTGTCAGTTCAAACCCACCAGCTGTTCCTTGGAAACCCAAGGAGGTGTCGCTATGAGTCAAAATTGACTGGACGGCAGTGAGTTTGTTTTTTGTTTTTTTAACTCTAATAATAAATTGCTTCAATTTACTTTGGGTGAGAAAATTTCAAATAATTTGAGATGAATTATTTTGTTGTTGTTTATTTAAAATTTCCTAAAATCTGAGGTCTTCAGATGGTAGCAAGCTTAAGGATAAATAGAAGGATAAATAAATAGGATCAGTCTTAAACAGGTCCTGAAAATTGATATGCACCAATATAGATTATTCACCAAGAGAGAAAAACAGAGTTAATATTGAAAATATTTAACAACTGGAATTGCACAGGTATCAACCAATCAGAATGGTTACTGACCATACCTCAAAAGGAAAGTTGGGCAATCTACTTCTGTAGTGATACCACCTCAGAAACACAAGAAGGGGTCCCCTGGGTCGGGTCCAACTCAAAGGCACAACACAACAACAATGTCAACTGATTATCAGTCTTGGAAAAAATCAGGGACCAGAGTAGGGCTTTCCATTTCTGTAAAAAGTATACACACATATTGCATATAGATAGTTTAGCAATATACATAAGAAACTGATATTAGAGATTGCCCACGGAGAGGTGAACTGGGTAAGGTCACCATTTAATTTATGGTTCCTACAGGTCAATTTTGAGGCAAAAGAGAGCATTATTAATACTTATTCTAGAACAATAGGCATAAACACATACTATCATTGGCAAGCCAGGAGATCTGGTCGTCCTAGAACTGGGGACTAGTTCAAGAGTTAGAGTTCAAGGGTTAAGGTAGACTTCCCTTTCTCTCTATCATATGTGATACAATACTCCACCCCTACTTCTGTTCTAAAGTAAAAGAGCCCTGGAGAATAGAATAGAATAGAATAGAATGGCTTCAACCTACAGTGAAATCAGGATAGGAACATGTCATTTGTCATTTTATGATTTTTGTCTATCATTATCATTAAGAAAGAAATCTAACTATTGTTAAGATTAATAGCTAGATAGATAGAGACAATAATTGATTTGGGTGAAGGGAAGGGCAATACATCAAAAGCAAGTGATCAACACGGTGGCACTGAAGAAGAGGAAGACACAAAGAGGTACACAGAGGTATAGACAACAAAGATAAATACTTTTACATATAAGTGTATGTATGTATGTATGTATGCATGCATGCATGCAGATAAAGGTTAATAATGGGTCTGGGTTTTGAAAATTTTAGTCTAATAAACATATTAACAATGATGACTACCAAACAACCTGTAAAGCTAAGAAGTCAATAAAAGATTAGACAGTTTTAGAGATTCAGGCTATTGATTTGCCCAACAGATTAGTGAACTCGGGAGCTCACTACTATTTTCAACGTGTTTTACATAGGATTTTACTACTCTTTCTTTCTCTGTGTTCCTATGCAGTGAAAAGTTTTGGAGCATAAATAAATCAAACACAAACATAGTAACTGTATTATGTTCTCTAGTGGTACATTGGTTACACTTAGGCTCATTTAAAATGAGGATATAATACTTAAAATTAGGACAAATGTTTAAAATAAAGAATGTAATTTAAGAATTCAATCATCTGGAGAAAATCATGCTCAACAACTCCCTAGTTCTACTGGCTTTCTGACAGTCACCTTCAGGAATTGCTTGGGAATCCAAGGAAAACAAGAGGATAGAAAAGTGGTAAAGGGAAAAATAAAACCAAACCATTCCCACTACTGTAGAGTTGATTCTGACTCACAGTGACCCTATAGGACAGAATAGAACTGTTGTCCATAGTGTTTCCAAGGCTGTAAATCTTTATGGAAGCAGACTGCCTCATCTTTCTCCTGCCGAGCTGCTGGTGAGTTTGAACCACTGACTTCTGATTGGCAGCCTAGCAATTTAACCACTGTGGCACCAGCATGCCAGAGGAAAGGGACAAAGTAGAAAAAAAAAAAAAGGTGTTTTCAGTGATTCAAATATAAGGCAGTCTATTAAAGTACAAAATTTAAGCTGAAAAATGCTGCTCTCACCTGGTTTTCTCCTGTTGCCTGGGCCCCACAGCCCACTCTGCAAACACACATGCATTGTAGTTAGGTGTGGAGAGAAGCTCCTGGGGCATTATTTCTTTTAAAAATCACAATGCAATGCCAACCTTCATTCTTCAAATATATATTGGGCTCCTGAGGATGCAAGGCCCTGGTATAGGTGATTTGAGGGTACAAAAGGGGAAGAAGACATAGTTCCTGAACTTGGGAGAACTAAGTTTTCATCCCTGGGCTTGCTACTGTGAGCCCTTGAATATATGACATCACATATCCAGTAATAAGAGTTTCTATGTATAGAGCCCATGACCAATATGTAGACCAGGGAGACACCCTGCAAATTCTATTGCTAATGTACTCGAGCATCAATTGGGTTCTTATTGTTATTTTACACATTATGCAACTGAGGCCCCACTAATAAATTAGGAATGAAATCAAGTTCCAATGTTCTCTCCAGGACATTCTCTTACAATTACAGCCTCAAGTTTTCTTTCCTATGAAATGGAGTTTCATAGTGCCATCATCCTCCAGTGACTGCTGTAAAAATGAAATGGGATAGGGATGCAGAGTTAAGCACACAGATTTACATACTAGATGGTGGTTCTTATTATGGTGAGAGGAAATAGCCTGGGGGTGGGGTCTAGAAGTATCTGAAATGCTAGCTGAGTTCAGAGGAGGGAGTGAATCTCACCACTGCGAAAGATCTGGTTTTATGCTGTTTGAGCAGGGTAGGTGAGAGTGGGAAGTAGAGAAGCCCTTTCTAGGTGAATTTTAAGCATAAAACAGGAAACTGTCATGGCCACATGTACTTGTTCAGTGATTTTTTTAAGTCTTAGATTCTTTAAATATATCTAAAAGACTTTAATTCTCCCTAATTAAATAGGACTTTACTCACAGAGAGAGGTGACTGAGTACCTGTTATGTTTGCTTCATAATATTTTTAAAAATAATGCCTTATTGTGTTTTGGTGAAAATTTGCATAGCAAATGAGGTTCCCGGTTGACGGTTTCTACCCAAATTGTTCAGTGATGTTAGTTACATTTTTCACGATGTGTCAGCATTCTCTCTCATTCTGTTCTGGTAGTTCCACTTCCGGTACTCTAGTTTCCCTGCTCCCTTTCTTTCTCATCTTTGCTTTAGAGTAATAGTTGACCACATGATCTCTTACTTCTAGACAAGAAGGATAGAGATTTGGAAGCAGGACCTCTGCGAAAGAGTGATATCCTAAAACTTGTTATAGAAAGGATAAGGCTGGTGAAGAAAGGGGTCCAGAATTGGAATTCCAGTTAATCCCTGCTGCTTCCCCTTACCTTCCTCAGGTGCCGCCAGACCACACCCTCTGAAAGGACCACCTCTGCCGTGAACATACTCTCCCTGCTAAGTGTAGATATAGCTGAGTCAGCAGTACTAATCCTTTACAAACATGTAGAAAACTCCATTTTATTACAGTCAAACCTGTGAAAGCTGGAAGCTGTGTAAGGTGGAAAACTGCCAGAGGGAAAACTAAAATATTTTCCACTAATACCAACAGAAAAGTGCTAAGACTGCGCCTCATCAGAGACTGAAAACTTAACAGACCCAGGAAAACAAGGCAGTTCTGTAGCATTCCAGCTCTTACCGGTTTCCACTGTACTTACAAAAGCAAGTGGATTTTTCTGTCTCATCTTGCTGTTGGCCAATAGATCTTAAATGTGGATAGGATTAAGAAATCACCTACAAACCACTGTGAGAGATGGTGAACCTGACACTGATGTTTAATGCACGCAATCTAAATGTCAGAAGAACTTACTTTCATTTTTTGAATGTAGTTTCTATTTAAAAGTCTCAATTTAACATATGAAGAAGTCATTTGTTAGTCACTTCCATATTTTTCAAGTAAAAAAAAAAAAGATCAATATCAAGTTAGAATAAATCCAACACAATAGCTAGAGAAACAGTGAGGGAAAAGGGAAAAGGTAAGTTATTACTTTAGAAAAAATAAACATGTCAGTCTAAGTCTAAGACCAAAAGAAAAAGTAGATGCACAAAAATAGCCCTCCCCTTTCGAGAAATTCTCACAACGTATTTTGCCATAGAGGAAGGTAAGTGTTACAATATCTCGCTAACCAATCAACAGCACTGTGGGCCTCAAACCAGGAAACCTTTTAAAGTATAGTATTTTAAACCGTGCAAGTGAGACTTCTGGCTCTCAGCTAGTTTTTGTTCCCTATATTTGTAGGATGGAAAAGCAGATGTGAAGGCCCTCATGGCGAAGTTTAACACAGGGGGTAACCCCACAGAGGAGGTTTCAGTCAACAGCCGACCCTTCAAAGTCACAGGGCAAAACTCATCTTCAGGAGTACAAGCAAAAAAGAATTTATTCAACAACCAAGGCACTGCCAGCCCTCCTGCAGGACCCAGCAACGTGCCTAAATTTGGGTCCCCAAAGCCACCTTTGGGAGTGAAACCTTCTTCTGAGGAAAAGCCTGACAAGGAGCCCAAACCCCCATTTCTAAAGCCTACTCCTGGAGTCAGCCAAAGGTTTGGGACACTGGCAAACTCGCCCAACAGAGAGCCTGAAGTGAAAGTGGGATTTCTGAAACCTGTAGTCCCCAAGCCCACCAACTTGCCCAAGGAAGACTCCAAACCTGTGTTTCCTCGGCCTTCTGGGAATAAGCCGTCACTTCATAGCATACACCAAGACAACGACTTAAAGCCACCAGGCCCAAAGCCGAGGTCTAATCCTCCAGCCCAGGAAAATGAACAGAAACAAGTCTTCCCAAAGTTGGCTGGGGTTAAAGGCAGGTTTATGTCAGTCTCTCAAGATCAGGACCCCAAACCCGTTTTCCCGAAACCCACCTTGGGCCAGAAGCCATCCTTGAGCACAGATGCCTCCCATGAAGACGAGAGCCCGACAAAGAATGTATGTCCACAGAGAGGACCTCCAGCTCCCCTAGGACCCAAATCTAAACCCAGCCCTTTAAAACCAGCAAGGGAAGACCCAGAAAGTAAAGACCCTGCAAGTGATACCTCAAGTTCACCTTTTCCTGGAGTGGTTCTGAAACCAGCAGCAAGCAGAGGGGCTCTGGGTTTCTCCAAAACTGCTGAAGAAAAAAAAGAAGAGAGGAAGATAGATGCTGCTAAGAATGTGTTCCTGAGCAAAATGATTCCAGAGGAATCAGCCTCTGGGGCTCCTCCTGCCAAGTTCCCTAAGGCGCCATCTAAACTGACGTTGGGAGGGCCGTGGGCCCAAAGTCAAGAGAAGGAAAAGGCAGACAAGACTCCAGCCACCCCCAAGCAGAAGCCACTGCCTTCCTTATTTACCTTGGGCCCCCCTCCACCAAAACCCAGCAGACCACCAAATGTTGACTTGTCGAAATACAGGAAAACTGCTTCTGGAAACAGTGAGTTCTTTTCTCAATTTCTGTTTCAGATGTTTCTTTGCACAGCAGAGAATATTTTAATTTCTGGAGGGAAAATAAGTTAACAAGGAATGATGCCATAATGAGTACTCATGAGTATGTGATGAATTTTCTTCAGCACTTGTTTGTTTGTTCTCTCTCTTTTTTATTATTTTATTTTTGGTGTGGGAGGTCTGGTGGTGTAGTGGGTAAGGCATTTAGCTGCTAACCAGGAGGTCAGTGGTTCAAGCCCACCAGCTGCTACATGGGAGAAAGATGGGGCAATCTACTTCCGTAAAGATTTACAGCCTTGGAAAACCAATAGGGGTTGCTATTGAGTCGGAATCAACTTGATGGCAGTGGGTTTGGTTTGGTTTTGGTGGGAGGTCTGAGAAGGTAGTTCTGCCTGAGTTCTATGTGGGCATTCTGTGGGAAAATGCCTTTGTGAGCTGGTTTTGGGAGAGAGAGACATCCATTTGATTGATGAATGGCTTTGCTTAATGACCAACATTTAATTTACTTCCTTACTTGAGTTTCATTTCTGTTGAAAGTGACTGAGGTGTGTTACTACCTCAAAGAGTTACACAAAATGGTGAGCAAGCCTCTAAGAAAGAGCTTATCTACCAGATAAAATTTTTCTCCCCTCTCCTCCAGGGGACATTTCCTTAACAAAGTCTGGTGGCATTTTTTGATTGTCACAACTGAAGAGTTCTACTGGCATCTAGTGGGTAGAGCACAGGGATTTTGCTAAACATCCCACAATGCACAAGAATTATGCCACAACAAAGAATCATCTGGCCTATGATGTCAGTGGTGTGAAGGTTAGAGACTCTCCTCTAACTGATTTTAAATACTCACACAATTCCTCATACATTTTCTAAGACTCTATATTCAAAAAAGAGATGAACAGGACTCTTATGAAGGCAATTTCAGGTGCATATTTCTGGCTATTTTCTATTTCTTTTTCTAATTAATTAAGTAGTAAATACCATAGCCAGGCTAATAAGTCAACACAGTTTAATTTGCTACCAGAAACAATGCCACAATAGAGTGCCATGTGGTATATATAATTCAATACTGAATGACTTGGTAAAGTCTTGTAACTCTGAATAGTGGTAAGATGAGTAAGATCAATCCTGCCCTGAAAATGTTCAATATTTTGGGCAAATTACATGCAACTGTTGCTTATTTTGGGGGAAAAAAAGATGTTTGCGAATCACCATAACACTATGAGGCATTTCTTCTCCTTAAAAATTATAATCTAAATAAAACAGAAGATGCAGGACTGGGGAAAATTTCATTCATGGGGTTGCCCTGAGTCGGGGTAGACTCCACAGCAATGAAAAACAGAACAATTCTGGGCCTAACAGTTGTGGAGATGGTTTGTTTTTTGTGTTGTAGAAACAATTTGTCATTGTTATCTTCCTGAGATCAGTATTATTTCTGTGTTGATAAACAGATTAGTGATCAAATCCTCCATTAGTTCTGTCTTGTGGAAAGCAAGTTCGCAAGGACCCTCTGATGATCTATCCCCTAGAAAGATTCAGTCTTGTTGCACATGGTGTTTCTTCCTCCTCTCTGTCATCTTGTTTTAATTCTGGCCTGTACCTCAAAACCTCTATTCTTGTGAGACTTTGTAAAACGTGTTTCTTCTGTATCTCAGTTAAAAATTTCACTATCATAACTTTGTTTTATGGAGGTAATATCATGCCACAAGAATCATTCTGACATTAAGCAGAAATCCCTTGGAAGTTTTCATGGAAGTTCCACTCCGTGACCAGGTTTGGTGTTAGGAACTGTTGTCTGAAGCCATACTTTCAAATGGTGCTAATAAAGTCTTCTTTCAGTCTCTGCACAGTGACCATAGAGGTGGGTCAAGCAATCTCAGTATTGAGCTCATTTTCAAGGCAATAAAGCAATAGATTCCCAGGCAAGATTGTAAAGCATGCAAAATGTATCCTTGCACTCTGTATTGGTTTCCTAGGACTGCCATAACAAAGTGCCACAAACCAGGTGATTAAAACAACAGTTCTAGTCTCACGGTTCTGGAAGCTAAAAGTTTTAATTCAGGGACATACTATTTCAGAAGGCTCTATAGGGAATCTTTTCTTGTTTCTCCCAGTTCTGGTATCCCCACATGTTCCTTGGCTTGCGAAGTATAACTCCCAATCTCTGCCTGTCTCCACATGGCCATCTTTCCTCTGTCTTTCTCTGTGTCCCTTCTCTTCTTTTTACAGAAATTTTACTCAGATTAAGACCTCCTCCTACTTCAGAATGGCATCATGTTAACTGATAACATCTTCAAGGACCCTATTTGCAAGCAAGGCCCCTTTCACAGGTACCAGGAGTAAAGACTTCAATATATCTCTGGGCAACCCAATGCAATCTTCTCCTGTCCTTCAGCAACAGTTCCCCCCTCCTGATATGCCTGCCCTAGTCACACCCACTTAGGTGCTCCATGGCAGAGTTTAGATTCTAAATCCTCTCATCAACACCCCCCTACCAAATCTCTGATCCTTAACGATATATTGTGCTCCACAAATGTTCACCTCTTCCTCTACCTCCTCCATACATCAAAGCTCCATCCTATAAATTTAAACTGACCTCAGTTTGTTGTCAGAATAGAGCAATGTGACTTAGATCCGTAAGTTCTGAATAATACCCCTTTAAAGCATTTGCATTAAAAAGAGATACACATACTTATTTTTTTCATTTTTTAAAAAAGAAATTACATTCTGCTTCAAAAAACAAATAGCGTAAAATGTATTAGATGTCCTTGTAGATCTTGTCTGCCATTTGCTTAGTCTTTCAAGCCTCTGCCCCACAGAAATCATTCTTCATGGTTTCTTATGTCCATCCAATGTTTCTTTATGCTTACAAGAAAACATGAATGTAGATCCTAATCTTCCCACTTTTTACACAAGAAGTAGCATATTGGATTCAACACTCCAGCTCTGGGTTTTTTTTTTGGTTTTTTTTTTTTTTTTTGCTTTAAAAATAAATCCTGGATATCTTTCTATGTTTTAATAAAAAACAACTGATTCTTTTTTAGAACTGCATAATATTCTGATAAGTGGATGGGTAAGCTAGTTGATTTAACAATTTACATTATTTCTAAACATTTGCTATCAGAAATAATGCTGCAGAGAAAAACCATGTATGTACAGGTAGTCACCAACTTAAGATAGGGTCCCATTCCAATGACTCCCCATTGACTTGGTTCTGGTATAAGTCAAATATGTCTTTGCGGTTCAGTGTAACTTGAACACGTCATTAAATCGAGGACTACTTGTATGTCCAAAAATAAGCATTTATTTTCTGAATACAGCTGGATCTGTTGACCCCTGATTCCCTCACTACCATTTTTCCTAAATCATGTTAGAAGTAGTAAGAAATTTAGCATTCCATTTAAGAAGGTTAAAAAGATACCAAAATTGAAAGCATACATTCATGGTTTGTGGTAGCTGGATAACAGATTTAATAGTTGACAAAGAAGTAAATTTTGTTGTAGCAAAACAAAAAATTCTGAGATTCTATTTTTGATCCTGAGTGGCAACTTACTAACTATGCACATCCATAAAGATATGAATGTATAGTACATATGATATTTAGAAGGGAAAGGTACTTTAAGGATCATTAAGTACAATCATCTCCGGCATTTTGTGAGAGTTGAGGCTCAGAGATGTGAATTACCCAACGTCATATACTTGAGATTCAATTCTATGTCTTCAGATTCCAAGTTCAGTACTGTCTCCATTTATCATCCTGCTTCAATATAATATGTATGTTTGCCTATGTTTGTATTTTCTGTGTGCATGCATAATGCAGTTATATTGAATATATATGTGTGTGTACTATTACAAATGTGTATGCATACGATTGTGATGTCTCAAGGCACTCTAGTATGTGTTGTCTCATTTAATTCTCACAGTATCCTATTAAGTAGGTAGGGTAGTTTTAATGATCCCATTTTAAACAAAAGTGCAAAGTGTCTAGCGAAACAGAACAGTTACTAATAGACTAGGGACTAATAGGGGAATTTTTTGCCATATAATGTGGACTTCAGAATCCATAGACCTGGGTTTTAAGCTCTACTCATTTATTTCTCAGCTGTGTAAACTTAGGCAAATTGCTTTATCTCCTTTCATCTAAGTTTTCTTTATTTGAAAGAACATAATGGCACTTATTTCACTGGTATGTTGTAAGATGATAGGACAATTAAGGTCCTGTATTAAGTGCTTAATACAGTATCAGAGCTAAAGTAATAGTCAAGCAAGTGAGCATTGTCTATAATTTTATTAATTTTATTAGTATTAAAACTTTATTTCCAGCCTCGTAATTTTTTCATCATTTTATATTACGAAGATTATTCTAGGAGTCACAAAACTGCACTTGACATATGTCCTATTTGTAATGAGTAAATTTATTTTCATCAGATCAATGTTTTCAAAGTCCAAGATATATGTAAAATCATGGCAAAGAGTTGAACAATGGCTACAGAGAGGTTTGCCACCAGATGTACCTGGAAATTATATCTTCCCTCCCCCTTCCCAACACAGAGGATAGAGAGCACTAGGTGAGGTCCAGGTGGCACTAGGTAATGGTTGCCAACAGATTTTATTGCCTCTTACTGACTGAAACCAAGGAAAGTCATTTGGTTCAGCCAAACAGAGGTATAGAATGACCACAAAGGCAGAATTAATGGATTTTATCTCAAGACACCGGTGTCATCAAGATCAATACTTTCAAAGCCAGTGTTGTAAGGGTGCTTTCTTGGCACCCCCCCACCCCACCCCCCCAGTTACCTGTCATCTTGGAAGAAATAATGATATTTGCCCAATTTACTATGGCTTGTGATCAGTCACAGTGGCTTGGATTGGTCACTTGCAGGGCAAATGCTTCTGGATCTGCTGCTGCAGACCCTAACGTTTTCTGGGTGGAGCTTTATTCCAACCCTGACAAGTATATACTCCAAACACAGCAAGGTACACAAGCATTTTCAT